AGAGGCTTTTATATGAGAGGACAGCCGCTGTGACGAAACTGTGGAGAAGACACGTCACAGTGGAGAGCCATTAACCAATATGCAAATTAGCCTGCAGTACCACTGCTCTGCCCATATGAGCAGCAAAAACACGTTTTTAAACCAAATATTACAGATTTGAACAAATACGCACAAAAACATCAAAATTAGCACAGTAACAGTACTATATAACATTTTAGACACATTCTAGACAGTTTATCAGCTAAAAAAGTTAATTTTGGGGTAAGTTACTCTTTCATAACTTTTTGTTTGCATAGAGAACAGGTACTTTGATTCATAAAGACATCTCAAACAGCTGCCTGGACTTGTTAGTAAGACCTTGGATTTAAGCCGAGTCGTGTTTTGCTGAATCACTCCTTTAAGAAGCTTATCTTCAGCTGTCATCATGAATCAAATACGTTGTGTGCCAGGACAGAAGGAAGGAACAAAAGAGCAACAGTCAGAAAGGTTCGGCTTGAAAATAAACACCGTTTTGTTTCAGGAACGTCGGCCTCTGAAGGAGCTCTTTTGTAGTTGAAATAAAGAAAAAAAAATAGATAAAAATAGATACTTACTCCCAGCTGAACTTAACATTKTCAGTATGAAAACCATAATCTCCATGATCATGCAGATACTCGGCATGAACTGCTGCGTTCCACATGACCTGGAAAAACGTGGAAAAAAAGTGGCTTTTTCAAAGTGCATAGTGAGAAATTCTTTGAGCTTTTATGTTGAATCTAATCCTACCACAATAATAATAATAATAATAATAATAATAATAATAATAATAATAATAATAATAATAATAATAAACTCCTACCTTTTTTGGAACACATCCAACATTGACCTGAGGGGGGGAAAAAGGTAAAATGTATAAAACCAGTGAACATTTTGTAAATAAAAAAGCAAATATTTTGACTGGTCAATCCACTTTAAAAAAACAAGCTATATAAACAATTTGTGTAATGCACGACTAATTTCCCCATTTATATCTAAACAACGGAGAAGTGAATCATGCAACTCGTTTTGTTTTTATGCAATCAAAGTGCAGCTTAGGAAACCTGAATGAAATCTGCGGTTCTTCTTTTTATCTTGTTACACAAAAGCAGAAATCGTAGCGAGTCCAGGAAATAGATTTGCAACAAGGTTTCTTAGTAAACTTTCAAAAGCATTTCAGAGCTTTGCTTTTTTTTTTTCTCCTATATGTCTGCTATCATTGTAAACATGGACAGATAAGCTGTTTATCACTTGAGCTAATTAGAAATGCTAAAACTTTAGCAGAGTGTTTTACTTTCTGGATGTGATAAATGATATTAGAAGCTTTAAATAAAACAGGTTTAACATTACTTGAATGAATGCATATCATCAAACAACTTCAGTATTTGTTGCCAATGACTCTAAACTACTACCATACTAAATTTTAGCTCAATTTCTTCCAAACTGAGTGAGTTATAACTCTTTTTGTGTTGGTTTATAGCATTAATTAGCTGTGGCGGCCATCTTGGATTGGGTTGACTCCAAATATTAATCAGCAGCAGATGCAAACTTGGTAATTAACCTCAAAAATAGTTTTTTTTTTTAAATCAGTCYTGTGGTTCAGGAGATATTTTGCTAACAGAAAGGCTCGGCTATATTTTAGCTCACTATCAGTAAATTTAAATAGTTTGTTTTGTTTGCTAATTAGCTGTGGCAGCCATTTTGAACAGGTGTACTAAACCTGTCCAGTGGTTAAGGAGATATTTTGCTAACACGACATTTAAACGAACACGTTAGGATGTTTTCTGCACAATGAGCCATTACGTCAACAATGTTTTCAGCTGCTGGGGGTCGCAGAGTGTCAGGGTTTTTTATTATTTATTTATTTTTGTACTCACGCAGGTACCTCCGAGTTTGTGGCTTTCGATAACGGCGGTGTTCGCTCCGAGCTCCGCCGCCCGTCGAGCCCCGGCCAGACCTCCAGAGCCCCCGCCGATCACCAGAAAGTCGAAGCGGGCTGTCTCCGAGTCCGAAGCCATGGCGGTGCTGCTGCTGCGGCGGCGGACAACAACTCCGTGTCTGAGAAGAAGGGACGAGAAGATTTGCTTTGGGAGAACAAAGCAACCAACTCCCGGCCGGGTTAGCTGGGTTAATGTTGCCATAACCAGGAAGTTGGTGCAGACTGACGGGGGCGGGAACGGGAGGGTCAAGTGACAGCCGCTGCTGTGTCATTGTGAGTTGCAACAATAGTGTGTAAATCCCAGAAACAGTCTTTTATAATGTTCGCGGTGAGCCTCACATCACATCACATCACAGCAGGTGCTGTAGGGCTACAAAAACAAATAAAAGCATAACCTGGCGCAACTATTAAATCAGTTTACATGAACGGGAATACACACAAAGACACGGGTACTGTAGGTAGTAGCCTGTAGATTTTTTTTTAAAAAGCAGCATACTTTTTATTTTTGTGACATATGTGCTAGCGCCTGTTGAAATTAATCACCTCGAGTTGTTGTATTTAATTATTTACAAACGTGACCGCCGTGACGTGTTTTCTCTGGTGGTTACGTTGGTTTTGTAGCGCAGGTTAAATTAAACGTAAAGTATACCAGAAAAGAAAAGACGTCGGCGTAATGTTTGTTTGAGAATACCGCGGACGCTGCGTCCTTTGGACTTTGTCAATGGACACCCATAACGGCAGGAACTTCCGTTTTGTGTTTTCAAAGTAAGAGCAACGGGCCGCAGTGATCAGAATTTGTTTGAAAATGGTGTCAAACTCGAGGGCCACATGAGCGGGCACTTTGATGTTTCCTGTTTAACTTCGACTAAACATGAAACAACAGTCCTGATGCATCTCAGTAATCCAGGTAAAAAAAAATCAAAAAGAAAAACATTGTATAGGTCCTCTGGACGGGTTCTTCTCTACTGAAACGTTTCGTCTCTCCTCCAAGAGACCTCTTCAGTCTGAGAGTTTCAGGCAAAATTCAGGCTTTTAAGCAGGATGAGTATGTTCTCATTCTTGATAGAGAGGAACGTTGGTTTGAGAGAGGMGTAAAAGAAGCCATCTTTGTGAAGAAAGACCGTCCATCATTAAACAGAGGTGGAGGCCTCCGTTTTCAGTTGTCCCCCTCCTACAGTGCTGCTATTGCCGGTATCACTCTGCCCCCTGTTAACAATAGGTGTTAATTAGGTGTCAACGATAGCCATGTGATGTGAGTATCAGTCACATGGAGGCAGGGCTTAAAAGCCTGAATTTTGCCTGAAACTCTCAGACTGAAGAAGTCTCTTGGAGGAGAGACGAAACGTTTCATTAGAGAAGAACCCGTCCAGAAGACCTATACAATTATTTTCTTTTTGAAACAACAGTTTTTTTGTCTCATTGCTTTGGCTGAACACTGCTTACAACCGAGCTTTGTGTGGTATTTTCTGCACAGAAACAGCATTTTAACATGTCCTCTTATAAACACTGGCATGTACAATTGACTAAATGTGAAATAAATAATACAGAAATACTATTGGGGGGTTATTATGCAGAAAATATTTGAGCTTTAATTTATGTTATAATGTCATTCCTCATTAAAACACACCCAGAGTATTACTTTGACTCGTGTGTTTGAGAAATCATTGAATCTCCTGTGGTAGCCATGTGGAGCTGCCTAAATGCTTGCTGCAACAAAGCACTTTTTATTTGTACGTAACACCTCTCTTGTGCTGAGTCTACAGCTGGGCTTCAGCCCCACAGATCACCCCTCCCCCAAAGCCTTGTTGTGAAGACCTGCTGCAGTGGCAGTGTCTGAAATGGTAGGTTCTCACAGAGACAGAGGCCAGTTTCAAAGTGTTTAGACTATGATGCAAAGTCAAATTTATTTTTAATACATCATTTTCATAACTAAAGGTACGTGAGTTTTACTCACTGTTGTGACAAGTAGATGCCTTCTTGAATTCTGAACTCTCCCACTTTTTCACAGTACTTTGAAACTTTCCCAGTACAACTGGGCCGTAAGAAAAGTAGCCAGCAAAAATTATACATCGTAAATTTGCTGTTTACATTTGAATGCACATCCACCTCGTAGGGGGACGCCATTATTTTGTGGGTAAAATAATAGACATGCATGAGGGATGTAGTATGGTCAATGCTGGCTTTAGTAGCCTATTTTGATACATTAATACAGGGCCAATCAACTAAACTATTCAGGGTGCGAGTCTCCTGCAGACCACATTTGGCTCAATGGTCTTGATTAGACACGTTATGTAAAATGTCATTTATTTTTGCAGAAAGTTKGAACACTTTAAAATCACATTTTATTGTCTCAATCATAACACTGAGTTTTAAATATTTATAAAAAATATCCTATCTCTTGCATATAAACTATCAGTGTAAAAAACAAGTTAAATTTAAACCACTTTCTCAGTCTTGATTACCTTAAACAGTAAACTATCTAAGTATTTCTTTAAGTAGCCTACTCTGACAAACTACAAGTCAAATTAAAGATTTGGTTTACATTGCAAAAGCAAAATAAGCTCTAATACAATTTCTGTCAGAATCTTAAAATGTCAAAAGTTRAACTTTTATTTTGAAAACAAGAATAGTCTGTTTCCGGAAGTGTACACAAACGTAATCTTTAGGCTGCTAATGATTAGCTAACCTAAAGCGTTTCTGTTTGCCGCGTTGAAATGCCTTAAAATCACCCCAAGATAAGGTATTTGCGGCGCTTCTGTCCTCTTCAAAATATGTAAAAGACCGTAAACAGTGCTATTTTCACTCATGTTGGACAGGGTTGAGAAATTTAATTCGTTAGTAAACATTGGAAATGCGGACCGTCGTCTCCGAGACCCTCCTGCTTCTGTGTCGGGCCTTTTCCTCGCATTCAAAGGACAGCTCGGGGAAGCAGCCGGGAGCTGCACATATAAATAACCGCGTTCAGGTTGGCTAAACGCATTGCTTTCTTTTGGATTTCATGATCAGTGATCGCAAAGATAAATAGCTGCATAACAATCACTACAGCTGTTTGTGTGTGTGAGCGGGGGGGAGGGGGAGGGGCTTTATTTTGGGCCTCCTCGTAAGATTCACTCACCGTGATGTAGCTCCTGAAACCTTTTCATCTGCTTTACACAGACAGARGGACGCTGCAGCGCGAGTGTGTGGAGCCCTGGGTTTTATCAGCTGAAGATGGACGTTCACTTCACGGTGTAAAACTGCATCACTGGGACCTGTGAGAAGCTGCTGCCAGATGACCGGTGGATGTCACCATGAAGCCTGTCAGCTATCAAAGCGTGCCGTCATCTGTGAACGGCGGATATCCAAGGTTGTCGTTGGAGCATCCTTTAAGCACCCAGAAGGTGATGTACTGTGAGAAGTGCGGATTTGCTTCTATGAACACAGTCGAGTTCAAGAAGCACATGGTGGAGCACACCGGGACCAGGTTTGTTTGCTTCTATTGCAACAGCGTTGCGTTCAGCGAGGCAGAATTGAACGAACACATGAAGCAGCACACTTCAAAGTACCCGTTCAGCTGCCCTCACTGCGGACAGGGCTACATGAGGAGGCTGTGCCTTATGAAGCACATCGACCGCTTGCATAGTAAAAACACCAGTCAAGGACCTGCTAAGCCTGGCGYGACAAAAAGTCCGCTTGTCCCCGTCTCCACTGCCCTAACAGGCGCAGCCACCGCCGGTCCGGCTCCCCCTCGACCTGTCGTACGGGTGACCGTACCTCCTCCCATCGCACCTGCCGTCAGGATGGTGAAAGACGAACAGATAGGAAAAACACTGAACGCAAACGTACCAAATGCTGCTAATGGTAACGTCGAACGTTTGTCTCATCTGAACGGACTCATCCAGCACAACAGGGCTTTAACGGTTTCTCTGCCGGAGGAAGTAAGCATCCCTGCCGGCTGCTTGGTGGAGCTCGTTGAGGTGAAAACCGTCAACGGGACCAAGGAGCTCAAACTGAGGCTCATCTCGCAACAAGAAAACGAGTCCGTGATAAAGGATGCGAAAGCAGCAGCTCCACAAAACGCTTGCTCGGGAAAGCCGTCGCCCTCCACTTTACACCAAGCTAACGCGGCGAGGTCTTCCGGCGTGGACGTGTGCGCCGTCAGCAGGAAACCAAGCGAAACCAAGTCTGTAAATGTGGAGCGTCCGGCCGCCGTGCCCGTAAAGATTTCTAACAGCCTTCCAAATGTAGCAGACAAAGAAAAGCGGGCTGTGAAAAGAGCATCACCGGAAATAATYAACTTGGACTGCAGCCCAGCCAAGGTTTTCAAAAGCGTCCTCGGTCCCGTCCGGGAAGGGAACGGTGTGATCCGGCTGCAGGTGGCGCCCGCGAACCACGTTGCTTCTTCTCCCGCCGTCTTCTCGAGCAGCGTCGCGAGCAGGCCGAACGTCGCCGTTCGGTCACCCGTTACGCAGAGGGCGATGGATGAGAGGAAAAATGCAACTGCGGAACACTCCAAGACCGTCCCGCCGAGGAGGCCGTCCGAGACGAGCAACGTTCCAGAAGTATCGGGATCTCTGAAGGTAGAACCAGACCTGATCTGCGTCAAGACCATCATTGCCCCAAAAGAAGTGAGAGGGTCCGGGTGCTTAAACCCACAAACGACGCAGGCTTTTAGTCCACTGAAGGGTCTTGTAACTACAGCTGCCCAAGTGAGACCTCCAGCCATGTTCGTCAATAAATGTAATTTGGCAAATCAGACCTTTCTACCACCAAGAACTCTAATGAATCCCTTATCAATAAAAGCACCCAGTCTTCCTAATCACATCAATTCAAAAGTATCTACTTCTTGTACCCAAGGTGTGCGGTTTAATGAAAGCAAAACAAAAGCAGCAAACGCAGGAGATGTGTCAAAACCTGAGAGTTTTCCCGTCATCTCCTCTGTGTTTTCATTAAGTGAGCAGCCAGAGGTAAACCAAAGCTCCATTCAGCCACTGGTAATGGCTTTAAGAGGCATAGTGATGGATAAAACACACAGTCCTGAAACAACAAGGCAAGATCAACTCCACGTTAAAATAAATAACGACACGGAGCAAAGGTGCAAGGCGCCGGCGTCAGGACACTCCATTCAGGTCTCTGCAAAAAACGTATCCTTCACTCGGGAAGCGCCGCCGACATGGCAGGCCAGCGAGTGTGTCAAAGTGGAGGAGCCGGACCTTCTGCCGCCGTCCGCACCGACCCAAGACGACGTCCACGTCAAGGAGGAGAAAGACGCCACTAAAACAAAGCACGATAACAGCTGCAGTGAAAGWGCCACTTCGAATTCTTCCCCGTGTTCGGAATCTAAAATCGCTCCACAAGCAGAGGCAGCGCCAGCGCCGACTGTCCATCCTCCTCCGCAGACGGCCGACGACGACGACAACGACGTCTCCTCAAAATTCTTGACAATCTCTCTGAGACGGGTGCAGGTCGGCGTGTGGAAAAAGAGCAAGAAAGGACCGAAACCCGGGTATAAGCGTCGGGTCCCCAGCCTCAGCGGTTGCGCAGTTATTTACCCCATGCCCCTGAAGGAGGACCAGCTGGTGAAGCGACCCGGTCCGAACCAGCCGGTGGTGGTGCTCAATCACCCGAGCCCCCGGGTTTCCGCCCAGAGAGAGAGCGCGGACTCGTTTGCGGACGCGGGAGCCTCGGACACGGCTCCGAAGTGCCAAATTTTAAAAATGAGGCTCGGCAAAGTGATGGGACAGAAGTACGAGGTGATGGGCTGCACAGTGGGAGTTTCCCCATGAATGTAGATTTCATCTGGAAACACGAGTGTACATTTGGGACAAGATAAATATCACAAACCGTCAAAAAGARTACAAAATGTTAAGGTAAATATTTTCTTAAAGGGATCCCAAGATTAAAAAAACTGACACAAAAAAAAAAAAAGAACAATGTTTATGTATGTGGAATATCCAAGTGCAATGTCGTTTGCTTTAATCCCAAGTCTTTGTAGATTTCATACAGTAATACTCTGAATGTAAGTACAGGTTCAAAAGTCTGAGAAATCATAAAGTATTAATGCATGAATTTTATTTTAAAAGATCGACCTTTTCAGTTGTGCCACAAGAATTCATCTTGAACATTAGCACACTAAATGAGGGGAACAGAACCACAGATTGTGTCCCCCTACCACCCCCACCCTACACACACACACAGCTCATGCAGCATAAAAGTGAAATAATTAATCAGATCACGAGGAAACTAAGTCTGCCTTAAGTTACCTCAAAAAGTACCTCGTCGTTTATGGTGTGTGTGTGTTTTTTTTGTTCACACACTCATAGGTGTGGCATCTTACCTTACAAGTTTTTATTTCCATAAAGGCAACATTTCAGCTCTAATGACCCTGTAACTGTCCAACCCATTATTGTGCAAATAGTATCACTGCAGCAAAAAGATCCCCATAGTGTTGCATTCAGGCACTCTAAAAGCCTCAATATTCTGGGATATTTTCTGATAAGTTGTGTTTTCAGAATGTTGTCACACTGAATGAAAGGTGTGAATAGTGGAGTTTAAATCCTGTATGTTTGTTGTTTATCCTGTGTTTTTATTTTTTTCATCCTGTCTGAGTATTTATGCATCACTGAGTAACTGAAGGTATTTGTCTGAAATGCAAGGGGAAATCCACAGCTGTATTTTAAACTTGAGTGTTACAGAATGTACTGATATTTACTATTTCTCTGTCCAGTCTTGGTGACGTGAACAGTTTGGATGTTGCCACTTAATGAGAATCGTTAACGTTCGCTGCGAGGCCACGGGCAAAAGTAAACATGCAGACTGAGTGACGGCGTTTATACAGGGCGGAGAAATTTGAACAGAAATGCGGTTTTATGCTTGAAACTCTAAATTTAAAAATCATAATCATCATACATTTGTTTTTATTTTGCAGTCTTGTGTGACTTACTGTAAATGTTTATTTTTTATCCATATTGATGTGTTTTTACTCAACAGGCATTTTCACTTATTTGACTTTATCAAGAAGACGTTTTTGTTTTTCTGCTCACTTCAATTTGGTTTGATGTTTTGCTTTGAGAAGCGTCACAGACTGGTTTATTGTATTTTTTCTGCCACAGTGATGCCCCATGTGGTGATTTGAGAATTAAAAACCGGTTGTATATTTTCTAAAAGATCTACGCTGACATTACCGTTTGACCTGTTACTTTGCAGCTCTCTGTTCTGTGGAAGACACTTGATTTCTGTGTTTTTTTATTTGTAATATAATCTTAAAAAGGTGCTAGACCTATGATTAAAATTGTAGGTTTTAGTTGCCCACAGTCTTTATGTACTCCTCTTGGTCAAGTCCAGATTTTATTGTAAATATGCCTATAAATATAACAATTTCTTTACACGGCAGTATCTGAAGCTGCTGTGCAGTGTGTTACATATTTTAGTGTTTCCATATTTTATCTTGTTTTTAAGTCACCGCTTACTTTTGTAAGTCATCTAGTCAATGATGCTTTTTGGTTTTAATACATCTTCAGTGTTTATTATTGTGTTCCATGCTTTTATAACAATTGTGTAACTCAACCTTTTCTATTAAAAACAAGATAAATACATCTATGTTCTCTTTTTTTTAAAGCTAAAGTTCTCATGTTACATTGCCAGAAAACAGGTTTAAATGATCCTAAAACCTTTTTAGAATGAACGCTAGTCTGTTTTTGGAAATATACAGCGGGAAAAATAAGTATTGAACACGTCACCATTTTTCTCAGTAAATATATTACTAGAGGTGCTAATGACATGAAATTTTCACCAGATGT